GGCAATGCAAAAGTTTTTATAACTATTACTTTTCCCATTAACGTAAGCTTTCTGTGTTGCCACTGCTTTAAGCAATTGAAAAAATCTTGAAGTTTAGGTTCTAAATTTAATGTTTGTTTATTTTTCTTGTAATCTGACGAGAATAAAAAGCCTAATGTTTTGCTGAATCAGATGTCCACTTAAATTTTCTAATTTTTACAATATTCTATGTTAGTATCTTTAAATGACCCGACTCGTAATATTGTTGATTTCTTTTGAAATTAAGGTTTAAAAACCGGAAATTTTACTAAATTCTGCTATCACATAGACAAGTTTTTTCGAAAGACTTAACTGAACCATCGTTTACGAAAGTTGCATCATCTGCAAAGAAGGATTGTTTTATTTCTTTGTCCTCAACTTTTATTCCTTTTATTTCACTATCTTTTTCTATGTAATTTGATAAAATTTCTAAACAGACGATGAATAATGATGATGATAAAGGACATCCTTGTCGAACACCCCTTTCTATGGTAAAAGGTTCTGAGAAATGACCATTATTTACAATAATACTTGAAATATCAGTGTAAAAAAGTTTGACCCATTGTATAAAATCTGTACCAAAATTGAACTTTTGAAGAGTATTAAAGATAAACTGATGATTTAAACTATCAAATGCTTTTTCATAATCGGCAAAGAATAATAAACCTGGTTTGTTTTCTTTTTGAAGATATTCAATTATTTCAAAAATCATTCTTACGTTTTCACCAATGTAACGGTTTTTCATGAAACCTGTTTGATTGAAACTAATTATAGTTGGCAAAACTTTTTTGATGGGCGATTAGAAATAGTTTTTGTTGCTAATTTATAATCCACGTTAAGCAAAACTTATTGGTCTCCAGTTTGATATATCTGTAAGATCTTTTTCTGGCTTTGGTATAAGGGATATAATTCCTTGTCTTTGAAGAGTTGTTAGTTTTGATATTTGAAAAGAGTAATTAATCGAATCAAGAAAATATTTTTTGATGCTATTCCAAAATGTCTTATAAAACTCGACGGTTAAGCCATCAGATCCTGGACTTTTGTTGTTTTTCATTTCTGATAAAGCTATTTTACATTCATATTCATTTAATATTCCTTCACATATGCACTTACCCATTGCGAAACTTTTAAACATTTAAATATCTAAAAACTGTGCCAAACTGGGTTTGCATTTTATGCTCAATAAGGTTCAAAGTTGTTGCTTTTTTCGGACGAACAAACCCAAAGGGTTCTGTTTTGCCTATTTTTATTCTAAAAGGAAAAAGTTTAAAAGTAAAATGAATAAAGGATTAACTGAGTCCCCAATGCTTTTATTTCCCCCTAGCATGTATGCTTTAAAAATTTAATTACATGGTTTAAGTGGTGTTAATAGGCTTTTGAACCTTGTAATAAATAATATTGTTTTGCTTTGAAGGAAATCTTTGACCTAGAGTACTTAGCGAACAGTTTTTATATCAAATTACATTAAACTATATTTTAAGCGAAGATAATTCTTGAAACTTAGGATGCAGAAATATAACTAGAAATGTGTCATCATGCCACGGATGCCCCCGCATGCAGCCAAAGTTTCAGATGTTATAATATTTAGTTCCAAATTTGTTTGCACAAATTATTTTTCATTTTCATACAATGTTCAAGGCACTGAAATTAACCTTTTGAAAATAGCATATTTCATATTTGTAGCCAAAATAATGGCTACATACATTTCCACAAAAGTATGAGTGCTGAAACTGAAAGTTCAAAATTTTTCCAACATTCAAGAAAGATAAGTTTGTCCAAAATCATTGAACCACGACCAAATTCAAACTTAAACTGCTTATTCCTAAGCTGTATCTATATTATTTTCAAAGTGAAAGGGACATAACTCTGCCAAAAAATCATCGAACCATGACCAAATTCCAACTTGACCTGCCCATTCCTTTGACATATCCATATGTCAAATTTGAGTTGAATATGTAAAACTGTTGGGTAGATAATGAACAGAAACTGTAAATTTCATATTATTTTCAAAGTGAAAGGGGCATTACTCTGCCAAAAATCATTGAACCATGACCAAGTTCTAACTTGGCCTGCGCATTCCAAAAACATATCCATATGTCAAATTTGAGTTGAATGTGTTGTACCGTTGGGGAGATAATAAACAGAAACTGAAAATTTCATATTATTTTCAAAGTGAAAGGGGCATAACTCTGCCAAAAATCATTGAACCATGACCAAATTTAAACTTGGCCTGCGCATTCCTTTGATGTATCCATATGTTAAGTTTGAGTTGAATGTGTTGTACCGTTGGGGAGATAATGAACGGAAACTGAAAATTTCATATTATTTTCAAAGTGAAAGGGGCATAACTCTGCCAAAAATCATTGAACCATGACCAAATTTAAACTTGGCCTGCGCATTCCTTTGATGTATCCATATGTTAAGTTTGAGTTGAATGTGTTGTACCGTTGGGGAGATAATGAACGGAAACTGAAAATTTCATATTATTTTCAAAGTGAAAGGGGCATAACTCTGCCAAAAATCATCGAACCATGACCAAATTCGAACTTGGCCTGTATTTTCTCATCACATATCCATATGTCAAATTTGAGTTGAATGTGTGCAACCGTTACTAAGATAATGAACGGAAACTGATGATGACGGAATGACAGAATGACGGAATGACGGAAGGACGGAACAGGGTAACACTATATGCCCCGGCCATAACATGGCGGGGGCATAAAAATTAAATTAAAGAGTTATATACTTTCATGAAATTAAATATGCTACTCAATAAAAAAATGGACACCGAGTGAGTAGGGCAACTCTTCGTGTAGCTTTAATCGGGCTAATAATCACACAATATTTTTTAAAATACATAGTTTATATGGGTTGTGACTAATGATGTTTTGACTTTAGGGAGAAAAACAAACAGCCATGTTGCTTTGGCATTGCTGAGGGTTTGTCAAACCACAAAACATGGATGAAGAAAAAAAACATGTCACTGCTATTTACATATCGGCACGTTAATTATGATTTCATAAAAATGTAGAAAACTTCAGACCAAACACAAAAGTACATGTTAGTAAATGTAGATAAATACCTAAGATATCGATGAATAAATGAAGTTCCCCTTAAGAAAAATGTATAAATATTATTTTAAACCCTATTATTCACCTTATTCAAGAGTGTAGACTTACCCCGAACTTATGTGTTAAAGACAAACAATAATAAAACAGAAATGCAGTTCAATGGGCGGACAACATTTAAAGTTGTTGGCATTATCGATATGTCCGGTTTTATATCATTCCAAGGGAAATAATTCCTGAAAATATTTGCAGGTCAAAAACGTACCAGAAACATTAGTTGTCACCAATTTAAATTGATTTTGAAAAATATAAACCCGTTTCTGACGTTTGTCTCATGCAATAATTTTGACCAACTAGAATATGAAAATTCCGTATGAACTACTAAAATGGGGTACGAAAATTCCGCGACACCGTTTTGTGACATGTTCGTACTTATTTGTATCAAATTGTCACGCATGTGTGAAGAATACAAACATTTTGACAAAGTATACGTGATGTACTTGTATGTAAGACTTGCACTTAATTATTAGACAAGATGGCCAAGATGGTCCTAGATCGCTAACCTGACCTATCGAACTCATCCGAGCAATTACCAAGACAAGCATCCTGGCCAAGTTTCATGACAGTTGAGTCAAAAATGTGATCACTAGTGTTTACAAGGTTTTTCCATATTTGAGCAGTGTGACCTAGGTTTTGACCCCAGGTGACCCATGTTCGAACTTTACCTAGAAATCATCAAAATAAACTTTCAGACCAATTTCAAGGATATTTGGATCAAAACAGTAGTCACTAGAGTGTGAACAAGATTTTTCTATTTTTAGCTCCCGTGACCTAGTTTTTCATCCGAGATGACCCAAGTTGGAACTCATCCGAGCAATTACCTAGACAAGCATCCTGACCAAGTTTGATGACAATCGAGTCAAAAATGACCACTAGAGCATTAACAAGGTTTATCCCTATTTGGGCAGTGTGACCGAGTTTTTACACCAGGTGACCAATAATCTAACTTGACCTTGAAATCATCAAAACAAACTTTCAGACTAATCCCCAGGATATTTAGATCAAAACAGTAGCCACTAGAGAGTTAACAAGATTAGTCTATTTTTCTATTTTTAGCTCCTGTGACCTAGCTTTTCATCACAGATAAGCCATGTTTAGTATCATCTAAGCAATTAACTAGACAAGCCTCCTGACCAAGTTTGATGACAATTGAGTCAAAAATGTGACCACTAGAGTGTAAACAAGGTTTTTCCATATTTGGGCAGTGTGACCTAGTTTTTTGATTCTAGGTGACCAATATTCAAACTTGACCTAGAAATCATCACAACAAACTTTCAGACCCATTTCCAGGATATTTGGATCAAAACAGTAGCCAATAGAGTGTGAACAAGAATTTTTTTTTAGCTCCTGTGACCTAGTTTTTTTTATCTGAGATGACCCATGTTCTTACTCATCCGAGCAATTACCTAGACAAGCATCCTGATAAAGTTTGATGATGATTGAGGCAAAAATATGACTGCTAGAGTATTAACGAACAAATGTGGACGACGACGGACGATGGACATTCAACGATCCTAAAAGCTCACCCTGACCAAGCTCAGGTGAGCTAAAAAAAGATAATGTTCGCTGCAGGAATTGATAATATAAACGTAACAACTGTCCAATAAAAATTACAAACTGCATATCATACATAAGATATAAAATCTATTTCAGATTAAGATTTTTGAATTTAATATGTGTGATTGCTATATAAATGTGGAGACCTTTTCTAAACCTGGACATATACAGTTTTAACGTGCTTGTTATGATGTTAAGTCAAAATGTTGCAATATTTTAGTTCTATCTCATATACATTAAGTGTACATATTACTAATTTCTACACTTCAAAAAGATTTTTTTATTAACAGGTCTTACTTCATTATTTTTGGTGACTTTCGGCGCATTTAAAGCTGTCCTCACACCTAGAGCTTCTCCATCTATCGTCCCAACAAATTTTGGCACGTGATTTTTACAGTAAACGTCGGGATCATTTTCCTGGTCGAAGTGAAATGTTCGCAAACTCAATTGTAGACCGCAAACCCGGCACCGAAAACACCGCCTGAAAAAAGAATTAAGAATAAAACATGTACAGAGCTACTATATCGCTTAGTTGAACCGGAAATTTTACACGACACATGTAAAAGATAGGTACACAATCCTCGTATAGGTGTGACAAATGCGTACGAATATGTCACTTAAGTACCACGTAACAGTCAAAACGAAATTTTCACATTCGACTTATTGTTTAAAGCTATTTATTTCACACCTTATAAAATACAATAAATGAACATTTGACTACGTGATATTCAAATATAAATCATTATCAGATCCAATCTTATCAATTTAGCATTGTTTCCAATGTTCAAAAATATATCCATTTCAAATGCATATCGTACCCAGTGTAGCCTTATTTTCATTTTCAGGGTAAAACCATCCATAGAGATTTCTTATGGTAAAGTTCTCTCAAAATGTAAACAAAATTTGAAATAAGGTCATCATAAAGTGTTTAGTGCAAAACTGATTCTAGTGGACTCGTGCACCGCCTCGTCCAATATAGACTTAACAGTTGTATTCATTATTATACTTTCTAAAATTGTCGTTTATTTTGTACAGTATACCTAGGATGAAGTGAGTGGGGCATGTGTTAAATCATACCGCCAAACCTGCTTAAATAGCAGCCAAAACATTGTGTTACGTTTACGTAAAATGTGCATGTATATTGAATTACATAGACATAATGACCTATTACATAGAATTACATAGACGTAATGAAAACAACATAACTTTACTGGCTTTAAATAATTATAGAATAGCTTTAACAAAGATATGCAAGTTGTATAAAATTCATAGCAGATATTTGTTTGTTTTTTGTTTAAGATGAAATTTTCGTTCATCGAATGAGCTATAAAACAGTATTTCCACGAGTGGCGTAGCTTTAATAAAACAAACGATTCCAGAATATGAAAAAGCCGCACGATGTTAAACAATAGGTTTTTATCGGGGAAGTGTCCGAAACAACAGGTCGTCCGCAATTTTCAAAGTGAAGAATATTATGTGCTTGCTTAAGATGGACTTAATTGAATTTGATAATTTTACACCTATTCAATAGAAAGGAAAATTATCCGATGATTATTATAGACAATAAATAATTGTTGACAGATGTGTACATACATTCAAGAAGCAACAACATGTTTTTGAAAGGCTGGGTTATTTGACATAAAAAGCAAATGCCACTTTACAAGCAACAAAAAATTAATACAATCACAGTAATGGACTAACCCAGTTTTTTGTGGTGTATTACGTTACTAAGGTAACTGTATGACAATTCATTTTCACGACATGCCAGTTACACGGCTTTATCTTTTGTTTTCTTATTTGAGACAGATTTCCCCTTCAAGTGATATATAATTCATGTTGTTTTATCAATAACTCTCACGACAATAACTGCAGACCAGTGCACAAATTCAGTTGTTGAGTTATTGGTGGGAAATAGTTTTTACCTACAAGGTCAATGTGACCTTGACCTTTGACTCCTTGAACCCAAAATCAATAGGGGTCATATACTGGTCATGTACAATCATCATACCAAGTTTAAGGTTCCTAGGCCTAAGCGTCCTGTAGTTATTGATCGGAAACCATTTTTACCTACAAGGTCAATGTGACCTTGACCTTTGAGTCCTTGACCCCAAAATCAGTAGGGGTCATCTATTGGTCATGTTCAATCATCATACCAAGTTCGAAGTTCCTAGGCCTAAGGGTTCTTTAGTAATTGATCGGAAACCATTTGGACTATCACCGACAGACCTACCGACAGACAAATGCAAAGCAATATACCCCCGCATAATTACATAGGCGATGTTTCTAGCTCGATAAATTGAATAAACTGAAGTAAGTTTTATGAATATGATTACGTTTGTAAGTTTAGTTATTAATCTGACAATGTCGGAATTGTAAGCGAAAATAAAAGTGAGGTACTACATGGGTGAAATGTTTAAAAGATTTTAGAATTTTTATTCAATATTTTTATTTTGTAACTTTCAACTGGGATTTTTTTCCTGTGGATTGGGAAGAAAATATACTATTTTCAATTTGGAATATGACCCAATAACGGCTATAAAATAAGCCAAAAAAATCCCTGAAATTATTGAACAAATAAATGTATTTAAGTACATCTTATTCCGGAAAAACCTTACCTATGAAACAAAACTCCAACATCAATCCTCTCCACGGGGTAAACCCGTTTTTTACACCTATAACACGGATCTTGTGCCGGGGGTCTACGATCTAATTCATCACAGATGTCCGAGTCTCCATCACTCGATAGCTGCTCCTCATTTTCTCGCTTTAACATGCTGCATATATTTTACAGAATTTTCTGTTCAAACTGTAAAATCAATTAATGTATAAATTCGTTTCAACATTCTTAAAATATTTCTTTCTACTCGCTCAGTACACGAGCAGCACATAAATATATATAGCGTATTTTTCTATTATCAAAACGTATACATAATGTTAGATCAGATTAGATTAGCTTATATCATTTTAAATAATTTTCAAAAATTGTTAAAATAACGTTCATTGACTTACGACTCAAACTATAACTTTCATATCGATTGGTCAATCGTGCATTATCGTTTCAAACTGTTTCCATTTTACACTATACACATACATGCAAACATGCAAAGATAATTTTTTCTCACTTAAAGCATCTGCATAATATCCAAACATATGTACAAACATATGGACGTTAATTAACACTTGTTGGTAAATTATTCATACGAGGATGTAGTGGCACTCTTTTCAGACTTACTGTGTCTGTCAATACAACCTATCAGCCTGTCTTATTATGTAATGTCTTACAAAACTTCGCATTGATTTATTGGGCCTAACATCCCTCAAACTCATTAAATCCCATGCATGTTTATACAAGAGACTTCATAGCAACAATTAAACTAGTGTTTCCACATTACCCATCATTTTTTATGGAATTATGATTTTAATATTTATATTACTTTGTATCTTACACACGCTACAACTATGCAAGCAGGGGTACAAGTCGTGTCGAAGTGGAAGCTGCGTGATATATGATATATTAAAACACTCATATAACTGTATATTTGATGTTGAATCGCATTTAAATCATGTAAATCAAGCAATGCAACTATTGTAAATGGCAGCCATGTAATTGACAGTCAATATGTTAATAGTGAGAAAAATGAAAATTATAGACAGACAATGACTGTACGTGTCTTCGACGTTCAATTACAACGTCGTCATGCCCGTTAATAAATAGAAATATGAAGTCACGTGTCCTGACGTTGAACCCGAGAACGTGAAAAAATGCTGAAATAGGGAATGTCCATTTTTGTTTGTCTATGAAAAATTTAATATAATTTAGTCAAAACTGTAAGTGAGAAATAATATTACAAGAGGGCCAGGAAGGCCCTAGATCCTAGACCTGACCCATCGAACTCATCCGAACAATTATTTATACAAGCATTCTGACCAAGTTCATGACAGGTGAGTCAAAAATGTGATCACTAGAGTGTTAACAAGGATAATCTATATATGAGCAGTGTGACCTAGTTTTTGACTCCAGGTGACCTCATATTTTAAATTGACCTAGAAATCATCAAAACAAACTTTCAGACAAATTTTCAGGATATTTGGATCAAAACAGTAGCCACCAGAGTGTTAACCTGTGTCCTGTGACCTAGTTTTTCATCCGTGATGACCCATGTTCGAAATCATCCGAGCAATTACCTAGACAAGCATCCTGACCAAGTTTGATGACAATTGAGTCAAAATTGTGACAACTAGAGTGTTAACAAGGTTTTTTTTATTTTTAGCTCCTGTGACCTAGTTTTTCATCCGAGATGACCCATGTTCGAACTCATCCGAGCAATTACCCAAACAAGCATCTTGACCAAGTTTGATGATGATTGAGTCAAAAATGTGACCACTAGAGTGTTAACAAGGTTTTTCTATTTTTAGCTCCTGTGACCTAGTTTTTCAACCGAGATCTCATCCGAGCTTTTACCTAGACAAGCATCCTGACAAAGTTTGATGATGATTGAGGCAAAAATATGACCGCTAGAGTGTTAACGAACAAGTGTGGACGGACAACCGACGACAGAGGGCGGGCGACGGACATTCAACGATCCTAAAAGCTCACCCTGAGCTAGCTCAGGTGAGCTAAAAAGACAAGCCTAAAGCATGTACATGTATATAATACGTCAATTTATGAGTTATAAGTGATGAGCATGAAGATGATGATGGAGGTGGTGATGATGGAGGTGGTGATTATGGAGGTGATGAATACGGAGGTGATGATTATGGAGGTGATCATGATATTGGAGGTGATGATTATGGAGGTGATCATGATTATGGAGGTGATCATGATATTGGAGGTGATGATTATGGAGGTGATCATGATTATGGAGGTGATCATGATTATGGAGGTGATCATGATATTGGAGGTGATGATTATGGAGGTGATGATTATGGAAGTGATGATGGAGGTGATGATTATGGAGGTGATGATGATGGAGGTGATCATGATATTGGAGGTGATGATTATGGAGGTGATCATGATTATGGAGGTGATGATTATGGAGGTGATCATGATTATGGAGGTGATCATGATATTGGAGGTGATGATTATGGAGGTGATCATGATTATGGAGGTGATCATGATATTGGAGGTGATGATTATGGAGGTGATCATGATTATGGAGGTGCTCATGATTATGGAGGTGATTATTATGGAGGTGATGGAGGTGATGATTATGGAAGTGATGATGGAGGTGATGATTATGGAGGTGATGATGATGGAGGTGATGATTAAGGAGGTGATGATTATGGAGGTGATGATTATGGAGGTGATCATGATGGAGGATTCATCTAATTACTGACATAAGACTCAAGTGGACTTTGTAACCGTGTATTGATTTGAAATTTAACCTTTGTATTCATTATGACTAATGATGGAGGTGATGATGATGATGGAGGTGATGATGATGGAGCTAGGTGATCACGATGATGGAGGTGATGATTATGGAGGTGATGGTGGAGGTGATGATTATGAAGGTGATGGTGGAGGTGATGATTATGAAGGTGATGATGATGGAGGTGATTGTTGTTATGACTTTTGATTGTGTTTATGATGATGATGATGCAAGTTTACATTTTCGTTGTGACGACTTGTTTATTTATAATCAGCTTCATGACTGGGAGATTTATTTGTCGGAACGGAGCATTACTTTTGAAATCGATGCATGGTTGACGAATAAAGAGAGCTATATGCTTCACGGCGATACAGTTCAAGCTTTATATTCGTTAATAGCTATATATGCGGCGTAACAGAGCTATGATGTTCAGTTATTTGTCTAGAACAAGGCAACGGTGTTATTGTTAAAATATTTAAAGATATATAACGAAAAATATGCAAAAACAAAATTGGGCGCGGCCATAAGCGTTGACCCAATGTTTCCGTAAACTCCGCCCCTGCAACCCCCACCCAACATGCACACACGCACACGCATGTATCCCAATAGAGTACTTCTTGTACCAGAATTATGTTTTTTAATGTTTTTACTATGTGTCGTAATATATTGAAATATATAATATAAAAAGGTCAGTAACAGAATGAATGAATGAGCTAATTTAAATTTCATATTTAGTCAGTAAATAAATAAGCTAACTTTACGTCTATACATACCTCCAGTTATACACATAACGTAAGATTCACCTTAGATTTATATAAATTATGACTAATGATGTTTACCAGTCAGTAATCCACAATAATGATTAAACACAATAACTTGTATGCAGTGATGTACATTGAACCACGGTTTCAAATCAATACACGGTTACAAATTCCACTTGAGTCTTATGTCAGTACAGAAACATTAAACTTAATTCACAATATCAAGTATCCGAATATTTTCTGTATCTGTCAAATAATATAACTGTCAACATTTGAATTCAAAATAGGGCACATTTTATCAAATTACTCATACGTGGATAATTACCTTCCGTACTGCGATTTCATTGGTTAATAAGTTCGGTCGATATCGGAGATCGAGAGATCAAACGTGTCGCTTTAAAATTGTCATTGAATGCCAGATAATAGTTTGGAACTTGCATTATTTTCCGCATCAATTTTGTATGGAGAATGAGTCATGTATCTATACTTGATATCATGTGAATCAGCAATTAGTTTGTCTAATAATGGCCAAGATGTCAAAGGGGAGTTAATAGTACACACTATAAAATTAATTAGGATTACCTCTCTTATATAGATTTTCTATAAAAAATACATGTAAAATGTAGTACATTGTTGGACATCAATTTTCACACAAAAATATGTTACGAAGTGTGACATACGTGAGATTACGTCACAGAAAGTGTGTCAATTACGGCCAGACGAACATATAAACGAATGTGTTACTATAAAAGTGAAACTAGAACTATCAATACCCCCGCAAGACTGCTTCGGAAATGACAGAATACCTACATGTAGCTTGTAAAAGAATGGTTGTGGGCAATTAAAGATAGATGTGGTTCTTGTACGTTGCCTTTTCTTTCACTGTGGTTGACCATTGATGAAGTTTTATTGAATTACTCTGTAATATGTCCAGAAAGACTTACGCTTCTTGGGCACTGTACTTCCTCTCATTGTGCTTGACCATTGTATAAAGTTCCATTGAATTCTACACATTAGTTTTTAAGTTATGCACCGGACAAGGAAAAGTAACAAAGGGCAATAACTCTACAAATACTGAAGATGGAGTTGAGGTTATTGTACACTGCACTTCCTCAAATTGCGCTTGATTATTGTACAAGTTAAATGTTGATGCTGCACATCAAAGACGCCGTCAAATGATGTGAACAGTCAATCAGCATTGAAAATCGTTCTCTATTACAGTTGAATATCCGAAGCACACAATCTATTTTTTCTCCAAGTTCTTGGTATGTGCCCGTTGTTTAATAATTAAGTTGCATATTTTTGTGAAAAAGTAGAACTAAATGCATAAATTCACAAAGTAATGCCATGTCTGAAATTCTTACATGTTTGTCTGTTGCAACAAAGATTGAAACGTCTGGTCGAAGCAAAACAAATTGGATAACAAGAGCCATGTCAACATGGCCATCCCCCGCCGAATGTGTTTGCTCATTGGAAGAATGTATATGTAGTAGAGCAGAATAATTCCATTTTAAGAGGTCTTTTGGTAATAAAAACTGATGGCTGAAGTGATTACAGATTTGAAACCTATGTGAATACTGATGGCTGAAAATAACAAAGGGCAATAACTGAAAAATAATGCAGGGTAGGTTATCATTCGTGTGTGCTGCACCCCTCCTCAGTAAAATCTATCCACCTATAAAGTTTCAAGTTGATACCTCAAATACTTTTGGAGATAAGCTCCGGACAAAATAGTATGAAAAAGAACATTGGGCAATAACTCAAAAATTATATAGGGAAGAGTTATCATTCTTGTGCACAGCATTCCTCCTCAATAAGATATATCCTACTATGACATTTCATGTTGACATCTCAAACACTTTTGAGTTATGCTCCACTCAGGTGAAAAATTAAGTATGAAAAATAACAAAGGGCAATAACTCAAAAATTATAAAAGGTAGAGTTATCATTCTTGTGCACTGCACACCTCCTGAGTTAGATCTATGCACCTATGAAGTTTCAAGTTGATACCTCAAATACTTTTTGACATAAGCTCCGGACAAAATAGTATGAAAAAGAACAAAGGGCAATAACTCAAAAATTATATAGGAAAGAGTTATCATTCTTGCGCACAGCATTCCTCCTCAATAAGATCTATCCACCTATGACATTTCATGTTGATATCTAAAACACTTTTTGAGTTATGCTCCACTCAGGTGAAAAATTAAGTATAAAAAATAACAAAGGGCAATAACTCAAAAATTATGAAAGGTAGAGTTATCATTCTTGTGCACTGCACACCTTCTGAGTGAGATCTATGCACCTATGAAGTTTCATGTTGATATCTCAAAGGCTTTTTGAGTTATGCTCTGGACAAAAATTAATTTTGAAAAGGGGAAAGGGCAATAACTCAAAAATTATGCAGGGTAGAGTTATCATTCTTGTGCACTGCACTTCTATCCACCTATGAAGTTTCAAGTTCATACCTCAAATATTTTTTGAGATATGCTCCGGACAAAAATGTCGGACGGAAGGACGGACGGACTGAAGGTCTGACGGACGGACGGAGACTATTTCTATATCCCCCGCGGGATATCAAGTAAACTTGAAATGATTGGTATTCTTAAAATAAATTCAAGACAATTTGTGCCGAGAATATGTCCATTTAAATATTGGTACGAATTGCATAATGTTCGAATTATTTTGAGGAATGTTCTGCAGTGATCTCAGCGTAACCGGTGCGCAGAGATTGGTGTACTTTCTTAACGGTTGAGGGAGAACCGCCTCTCTGATAGTGCGCGTGGTTTAGGCTTTGTAACTTGTAATTTAATGATTCGATCAAAGTTGTGCCCCGTCAACGAAGACTAAATGCTAGCATACGGAGCGATTTAAGGCGGAGCCGAACTTCAACAGAGGCGGTGAAAATTAAGTAAGTGACACTGCCTCAGTCGTTACCTCTCTCTCAACAGTTAAGTTTAGAACGACCGACTATAGACTGGCGCATTGGCACGTTATTTATTATGTAGATAAAATTAGATAATGATAAAAAGAGTATGATATTCCCTTAAAGCTCCCTTAAAGCTCTGTGACATGTTGTACATCAGAGAGGCTATTTTTATTAGAAAATGTGAAAGCAGTGTGATTTTGCTAAAACAAAAAAATACACAAAATCAAGTCATTGCTGTATGGACAAATGCATATCTACTAAGCTAGCGGCGTCTAATGAAGTTGTTTTGAATTCCAATCAGTACTTTTTCAAGTTATGCTCCAGACAAGGAAAAGTATTTATTATAAAAAACATTAATATCGTGAATATTGACATTCAATTTCGTCCGATTAAGTCACTTTCGTATTGTTCAATGTGGACAAAAGTAAGATATCAGAACAGGTATATAGAAATTATGAAAATACATTGATATTAAATCATCATAATAATTTTTTTTTTTGAAATATATTTTATTCATTTCTGAAAACATGCGTCTTTCAGCGCTATATTTGACATTTTTGAAGTCACTTTCGTATTTTTCAATGTGAGGGAAAGGAATTAAGATCTTTTAACTTGTGTAATGCAAATAAATGGCGATTAAATCATCATAATGATTATTTTTAAAAATAAATATAATTGATTTCTGATAATGTACGTCTACAAATTGCAATTTTAGTAAAATGTTTATTTGATATTTTGTAAGCCACTTTCGTATTTTCCAATGTGAGCGAAAGGAAGATCTCTGTACTTGTGTATAGAGATTATGCAAATAAATGGCGATTAAATCATCATAATAATTATCTTTGAAAGTAAATATTATCATTTTCTGATATTATATACGTCCACTTAGTGCAATATTAGTAAAAATAATTTCAATTTAAACGGTATATTTTATAAGTCACTTTCGTATTTTTCAATGTAAGCGAAAGGAAGATATAAGAACTTGTGTATAGAAATTATGCAAATAAGTAGCGATTAAATCATCATTATGATTATTTTTGATAATAAATATAATTATTTTTTAATAATATACGTCTACAAACAGCAATTTTATTGTAAAAGTCTATTAAAACGTTATAATTAATATTTTAAAAGTCACTTTCGCTCACTTTCGTCAAAAAAAAGTCACTTTCGTATTTTAGGCAAACCAATATATTTGTGCAAGTCCAACGCCGCCTTGCACTTCCGACTTCCCTTCGCGGCGTGCACGTCGCTCGGAAGGCATAGGTCACACCAGATGGGTGACCTAGTTAGGTCACTTAGCTGGTGTGACCTAACCAACGGCGAGGGGTGTGGCCCTAAAGAGAGCTGCTGCTCCCGGAAGAGGTGCCTTTCCTCTATTGTCAATCATTGTTCAAGAAGCGAGGAATTGGGTCCTAGAGAAGGTCTACGACGAACGACAGCATGAAAAGACCTCCGTCGCGGCTCTACGACATCGACGACGTTGCAGGCGAATAAGTCCTCCGTTGCAGGCTCTACGACCAGCAATCGTAATAGAGGCCGACTAGTCTGGGACATATGGGAAACCGGCGCCCAGTATAAATAAAACCTAAAACAACAACAAAAGCCGCCTTGCAGTAAGATGACTACTGTATCAATACAGTGACTGGCTTTGTCGAAAATATGTGCTAAATATTTTGGAAATTAATATTTATTGACTTGAAGATAAAATATCAACTTTTATGCCCCCTTTAGGGGTGGGGGGAGGAGAATTTAAACGTTTTACTTGTCCGTGCGCCTGTGCCTGAGTATGTGCCTTATCCCTTATTATCACTTTATTATACATTTCTATAGTGGTACGTAACCTCCAAAAATGGTACATATAGCAGTGGTACGTAACCCCCATGGTACGTAACCTCCAAATTCCCGTCTGTTCCCCCCCCCCCCGACGAAATTTCGTTCGTCAGCATTATGTTATTGTGCACCTGGGATTTCGCTTGTCGATTCGGGCAGTCATGCTAGAGTTATTGCCATTGACTCATAGGTGTTCGGCGCGTTGATTGGTCACTCCCCCCGGGCCAACCCCCACCCCCTCACCCACTCTACAACCCTCCTACCTCTCAAAATCATGTAAACTGCAGTATTTTTCATTTTAAACATGTTTTTGGTATGACCCAGCGGTCAGGTCTCTGTCGAGTTACACTTGTGGTGACTTTGAGATTACATATCTTCTTAAAACTTGAAATGATCGTAATGACAGCTTTATTTCCTTTAAGAGTAATCAATTCCCTACCATTTGGTACCAAGATATTGAAAATTGGTGAAAAAATGTTGGAGTTATGGAGTTCATATTAAGATGAGTGCTGAAAAATGAGCGGCGAGTTGCATACCTTTACTAAATATATATATATCATTTTTTTATTTTTTGTGGGAGATGAACTTAATTGAATTAAAAGCATATACCAAATATTAAAACATGTTTAAAATTAAAAATACTGCAGTTTACATGATTTTGAGAGGTAGGAGGGGGGGGGGGGGTTGGCCCGGGGGCAGTGACCAATCAACGCGCCGAACACCTATGCATTGACTTAGTCAAGGAAATTGTCAACTTGTGTCGAGTGTAGCATCAACAGTATTTGAACTAGCGGCACGGTCATTAATGTAGATGTTCACCTGAGGTTTGGCTTGTGGATTCCCGCAGTTATGTTAGTGTCCTTCACTTAGTATAAATTTGCAATTTATACTTGTGTCGCATGTAGCCAAAACAGTATTTGACCTAGGATCTTGAAGCTTTACGTGAATATTAGTCAGTGTATGAAGTTGTGTACATTGGGTTTCGGTTGTTGATTTCCAGCATTTATGCCAGAGTTATTGCTCTTTACTTAGTCAAAATCAGCAATTTTCAACCTGTCATGCATGTTGTTGAAAAAAAAACAATTGAGCTAGGAGCATATATAATGTTGTGCACGCAATGTTTACATATGGATTAGCACAGTAATGCCAGAATTTTTTCCCTTTATTTACTAAATCAGAATTTGAAATTTTCAGTGTTTGAAGCAGAGTTAAGAAACCTTACAAGAATGTTGGTCAGCAAATGTTGTTGCGATTTGGGATTTCATTTGTGAATTTGATTAGTGTTATCATAGTTATAGCCCTTGACTCAGGGAATATGGTGTGGAAGGTGGGTAGTGCGGGCATATATATGTGTCCTATGGTTTTAATAAAATTAACTGCCATGTAAAAGATAAATATTCGACTTTTTTAAGTATTGAATTTCATGATTTTATAATTATGATTTACAAAAACTCGTAAATTTATAATCAAATTAATAATTATAAATATCCAAACAAGAGGGCAATGATGGCCCTAGATCGCTCACCTGACCAATCAAACTCATCCGAACAATTACCTAGACAAGCATTCTGACCAAGTTTCATGATAATTGAGTCAAAAATGTGACCACTAGAGGGTTAACAAGGTTTTTCCATATTTGGGCGGTGTGACCTGTTCGAACTTGACCTAGAAATCATCAAAACAAACTTTCAGACCAATTTACAGCATTTGGATCAAAACAGTAGCCACTCGAGTGGTAACAAGATTTTTCTATTTATAGCTCCGGTGACCTAGTTTTTCATCTGAGATGAACCATGTTCGAACTCATCAGAGCAATGACTTAGACAAGCATCCTGACCAAGTTTGATGATAATTGAGTCAAAAATGTATCACTAGAATGTTAACAAGGTTTTTCCATATTTGGGCAGTGTGACCTAGTTTTTGACCCCAGATGACCCATATTCCACCTTGACCTAGAAAGCATCAAAACAAACTTTCAGACCAATTTACAGAATATTTGGATCAAAACAGTAGCCACTAGGGTGTTAACAAGATTTTTCTATTTTTAGCTCCTGTGACCTAGCTTTTCATCCGAGATGACCCATGTTGGAACTCATCCGAGCAATTACCTAGACAAGCATCCTGACAAAGTTTGATGATGACTGAGGCTAAAATGTGACTACTAGAGTGTTAACGAACAAATGTGGACGAACAACGTACGACGGACATCCAACAATCCTAAAAGCTCACCCTGAGCTAGCTCGACAGGTGAGCTAAAAATCAATTAGTAAATCGGAACTAACCAAAAAGCTTCTGAAAAATTATGAGTCTCAGGTCAATATTGCCAAACAATACTTATTTGCCAAGCATAAACACAATTTACATAATAATATCCTACAAAAGTTATTCTGCATGCAGAAACCAATAATAACACTTTAACATTGCTATAAAGTGGGAATAAATCTATCAAGAATGAGTGAGTTGATTGCCACCAATTTCGAACTTGACCTGAGTTTGATATAACATTAGTTTTCCTTGTTTATTTTAATAGGTAGGTTTAGTCATACTTGTAAACCTTAATAATACGTCATGGCAGATATATGTATCACGTAACAAGAAAACGACAAAACAAGCAAATACAGTTATATTATGATACTCTTTAATGAAGAAGCATGTTAGATATCAGCAAAGTCCTACTTAATTGAAAAATCTGATTTTTTTTTTCGCACAGATAAATTGACAAAACATGTAGCATTGTTAAGTGTGAAAGGCAGAATCACACATCAAAGCCACAAAAAAATGTTAAGCTACTATGGAACGCCATTATCTGATGTTGCTGCACTTGTTTTATCTTCATTATCAGTACATAATTGTGTATTTAAGCAGCAGCATCAATACAGCTATAGCATTTTCATCACATGTACATAATTATTATTATCATCAATAGTATTATTATTATCACCATAATCGTAATACATCAATGTATCATCATTATCATTTTCATCATCATCATTAACATCATCATCATCAACAACAACAACAACAGTACATCATCAAAGTAACTATCATTATCATCAGTACAACATCATCATCAACTGAACATCATCACTATCATCAATTTTAAATACTCAACACATATTCACAATAAGTGCCTCATTTTTTAAACAATTGTTTTTCTGATGTTTTACAATGTGATACTAAAAAAATATATTAAGTGAAGTTAATCCAACAAAAAATATGGTCCCCATTCTTTGCATTAAATTCAGTACAATATTACGTAGGGCTTCATGTAATTCAACGGTGACAATGATGATGGAAGTTACGAGTATGATAAATATGATTTTGATGATGAAAATTTTGTTCAAGAATTATTTTGATGATGGAATTAAGTACTAATGATAATGTAGATGATAATCTTAATGATGATAGAGGTTATAATGGTTTGATCACGATGATGATACAGTATGGGTCTTTTTATAATGATATTTATTAATGCATGTTAAGATGATTTTTCATGATGACGTTGATGATAATATAGTGGTGATTATTATAATTGAAATGATAACAATTTTTGAGCATGAAGTGCTCATGGTTTAATGTTGATGACACTTCAGGGTGTGATTGTAAAGGCATTTTTCAAATTTATTTTGTTTTAATAAATATCATATAGCTAATTACTAAAATTTAAAATAGTATGAAAAATACTATATTAAAGACTTAAACTTACAAAATTCAAATACATTCAATTCTGCTTAACCATTTAAAGTGTGCAAAACATCAAAACATCAAATAAATTAAAATGAAACAATGTCAAGATAATAGGCTACAAATGTAGTTAAAGACACAAGAGCGATCAGTGATCATGTTTCGCCTCATGATGGCCAATTGCATGTTGCAGTTACTGTGAAGCACGAGACAAAAAAATCATTAACATGGTCATAATGCGCTTTTTATTCAAGGGTAACAACTCAGCTAAATCTCATACAACCGGGAAATCCATGAAAAATGCACAAGAACTTAAGCTATCAATCAAACCTGTAAAGTATCATTGCATTAGTGGTATAAGAGCAGAAGACTGGACAAATTTCAAAAATAACAAATGTAGTCATGATAGTTATCATTTGTGTTACAATCCATCCATAAATGACAACTAAATAGTCCCTGTGTCTTCTGTTTTATCTTAACTTTGACCTCTCTATGTGACCTTGACTTTGGTAGCAGGGACCTGGATTATGCGCACAATACTTAGCTTTTCAATGGTGAACATTTGTGCTAAGTTACACTAAAAGCCCCCGATGAATGTAAAAATGAATATATTATCATAAATTACATGTTTCTTACCTGTAGTCATGATAATGACCATTATTTTATGTTTCAATCCTTCAAAAAATGATGATTAAATGGTCCAAATACACATTTTCATATTTTTATCTGAACCTTGGCTGCAGGGACCTAAATTTTGCACATAAAACTCTGCCTTATAATGGTGAACATTTGTGCCAATTTATATTGAAATCCCTCTATGCATGTAGAAGTTTTGCTCCGGACAAGCGTTTTCCAATGACATGTGTGACCTTGCCCTTTGACCTAGAGCCTAGTTTATGTGAGCGTCACAGCTTCTCATAATGGTGAACATTTCTATGAAGTTTCATTAGAAATCCTCCATGTGTGTAAGAGATATGCTCTGGACAAAATTGGACCCCACCCACCCGCCTGCCAGGGGCGAAACTTAGTCTATGATACAACCAGTTTTTCAAATGGGCATATGAATATCATTAAAGGGCTACAACTCAGACAAAAATCATTGAACCAAAAAATGGCGAAGATATGTACAACAAGACCTGGTATTGATCATTCCTGTAAAGTTTGGATGAAATTGCACAAGTAGCTTCTGAGGAGTAGTCCAGACAAGCTTCGTGTTGCTGGCAACACAAAAAAAACCCAATTTAACCCTTTTTTATTCAAGGGCCATAACTTGGCAAAAAAATATTCAAACTGAAAACCTGTGTAATATGTTCAAGTACTTGAGCTACAGATCAATCCCGCCAAGTTTCATTGAAATTGCATAAGTGGTACAAGAGGAGTAAACTTTTCAAAATAATAACTCAAGACAAAAATCATTGGACCGAAAATGCCAATGATATGCACAACTAGACTTAGTACTGATCATTCCAGTAAAGTTTGGATGAAATTGCACCAGTAGTTTTTGAGTAGTCTGGACAAATTTTGTGACGGACGAACAGACGTACAGTTCCCAGAGGTACTTGTATGACTAGGAGAACAATAGGTAACGTAACACTTTCTTTGATCCTATTCATTCCATAATTAACTTATGTGGCTAAAAATGACTAAAACGATCAAAAGAAAAGTCACATATAAGTACCAATTCGTAACTATGTTTGAACAGACAAATAGATGGACAGGCAGATGATGGAGAAGTGATCCCATTATGTCGCCACTACTCTGTATGCATGTATTATAAAATAACTAAATTAAACTGCGTATTAATTGTACCACCAAATAATGTAAAATCATCATGTTCAACTTATTCAAACACTGTCTTATACCATATCGTGTTACCTTGTCCAAATGTGATTCTGACCAAATTTAGTACAATGTAACCGGTAACCAGGCATGGTTTGCCAGCCTTAATGGACAAAATCATGTCCATATTTCTTCGCCATTTACAATTTATGCATATAGTTGCACCATAAGGTATATCACAGCAACTCAAGACAATATTATAAATACAGGACTGTTTGAAGGAATGTTTGACAAAATAAGAGCGTGAAGAAAAGTCAACGCCGTATTTTTACAAGACAATGATTATAATATTCAGACAAGTTAACAGTACGTTTTGACATGATACCACAATTATATGTTTGACAAGTCAGAACCCTGTTTTGACAAAATAACACGAAAGTTAAAAAAATTTAAAACATGATTATAACCAGTTAACACTGCATAACTTAACTCTAGAGTTTAACAAAATCAGACAGCGCTTTAACCTTTTACCACATGAGCATATTGTGAAAACTGGCCGTTTTCATTGAAAAGCCTCCTGTTACAAGTTCAAACTGCTATAAAACTATGAAAAATGCTTCAATACTAATACAACTTGGCACAAATGTTGACTGAACCATAAACCTCTGTAATCTTAAATTTCCTGTTACCATGGCAACGGGGGGACATCTCAAAATTGCGAAAAATCACTATTTTGCATTGTTTTTTTTCCAATCAAAACTGATTTCAAAGTGCTGCTACTTCTCAATGCATTGAGATAGAGTAAAAGGCTTTTCAGCGTTGGTTACATGTTACCTTAAGATCGACCTGAGGCCATTTTTAGCCTGTCACAGGTTCAAAATTTTCTTGGCGATGAAAGGGACTGCCGCCCCCCTTCAAACCCCCCAAACAGAAGGCAACCCCCTGATGTATCATTTTGATGGGGGGGGGGGGGGGGATGCCGAAAAAGTGATCACTTTCTTTAACAACATTTCTCCAATGAAAAACAGTGTTTGGGGCCTAAATAGGCCATTTTTTCACCGTTTGAGGTCTCAAACACGGGGGTTCGACAACATAACATTACTGTTTCACATAATAAGTCAATACGACATTTCCATAAGATACTACGGTCACTTGACATAGAGAGACTGAATTTTGACAAGTTAAAACTGCATTTTGACAAAATAGCATGAATTTTTAACATAATAAGACATGGTTTAGACCAGTCAACAACACATTTCAACAAGATTACCAAATAAATGTATTTATAATATTTAGGCAATTATACGTACACCGATATTGACAAAATAACCCAGCAGTTCTATAAAAAGACAGTATCTTAACACAAAGTAAAACTTCCTAATATCAACTTGTCTGTCTAAATGCTTTTGACTTTAATTCTTAAAGAGTTTAAACAATCATTGTTAACATAGTAATAAGAATAATAAGACAAAGTTTAGACAAATCAGCACCACATTTTGTCGAGATAAAACTACTGTTTCACATAAGACAGTGTTATGACTAGTGAACATAATATGATGTCAAGACATATTTGACATAATAAGACACTTTCTAGGGAATATTTAAAAAGAAATGTAACAACTTGAGACAGCTTATTGCCTTTCATAAAGTTCGCTCTTAACTGCTGATTATATTGTTTGTTTTAAATTGGAATAATCTTATAACTAACAAGAATATTCCAAGTAAAAAACTTATAAAATATATATAACAAGTTAAGACTTATTTAAGACATTTTTTATATTTCTTCAATGTTCTATTAAAATGTCACTAAAGAGAAGTCAAACGTTTAAAAATAATTGTATAGTTTTTAACATTAATAAAATGAAATAAAACGTCCATAAAATGAACTTGATTTAAGTTGCAGTTTTTTACTTTTATGTCCTGGTTCTCAAAACATGAAGTAGTTTCACAATTTTCTATCTATAAGTCGCTAATAATTAAACACTGTATTCTTTTAAAAAAACAGTGTAATCATATCTTTTATTACAGCAATTAATAAGGACATAGTAAGCAATGATCATTTCATTTATCATTGTTGTTTCTTTGGTTGTTTTTTTTTTAATTCATATTCAAAAGTAAGATGTATATGAAAAAACTACAGATATGGAAATTAGTAAACCAAAACAAATAGGGTTGAGAAAAAAATGCTGTTTTAAGACAATGAAATTAAGCGCTACAGTTACAAAGTATGAATGCTGTCACTTATCTGATACCTTCAAAAATTGTTTAATCACATTAAAGCATATATCTAAGCAGATTAAATTTGTAAGTAAAGACGCTATTTGTTAAATGATGCAAGGAACACATAGTTTATATTTCAAGAAGAAGTTCTTCAAGTTCTTCTTAAATAGTTCCTTGTTATCAAAGTAAATCTTTACTTCAACTACTGAGCATAAATCTTTCCCTGCATTATCCTGTCTATAATCAAATTTCAGTTTCTGCATCTTCAACAAGCTCATAGTCCAACAAATGGGCAAATATTGAACTTTCCTTTCCGTGGACAAAACGCGCTATGACCTTTAGAACTATAGCTACATTTCCTGTTGGAATATTTCCTTCCCATGTAAATCCCAACTTACGTTTAAGATGATACCATATATCACCAACGACCACAAACACTTCTGAAGCCTGAGGGATGTCAAGTCTGAATGTGTATCGTTTATTTGTCATCAAATCTCCAGACACAGGTTCGTGAAGTGTACACCTTTGCCAACGGTGATATGTCTTTGGGAAAACCATCACAGAAGGGTTTGGTTCCTGGCATATTATTAGATACCTGTAGGCACAGTCTAAAGACTGATCTGTTGATGACATCTCAGTATGTGTCGCGTAAAGAGAAAATATATAAAACCCTTCTTTAGGACAGCGGATCATATAAGTAGCTCCAAGCTCATTTCTTGACTTTAAGAACACATACCTATCTATGTCATTTACAGCACCCTCCTGGGAGTCATAGTACTGAAATGTGTGAGTTACTTTCACGTCTTTACCCATTTTGAATATGATCTCTAAATAATCACTATTTGAGACAATTAATGGATCAAGTTGATTCTCTGCGATAATTCCAAGATTCTCCATGACTGGTGTTGGGCCGAAAAATGGGACAGGAGGATATGAAGGAGCAGCAACGCCCATGTTCTGGGTACAATTTACCATGAAAGAGCATGCGCTTTCCAAACAGTCTGACTGCCAATAATCACCAGTGTAGATGGAGAAGTAGTAAAATCCTGGTCGAGGTACATTTACAGTAAATATTACCTCATTTTTTACATACCTAAGTAAAGTTCTACCATCTAAATTTGATGTACTGCTTGCCTTATCAGCACATTCAAGCAGGGAACCAAATCCAAGAATTTTTGGTGCAATAATTCTTACTTCAACCATTCCTGAGTCTGTTGTAAGCGTCGCACCATAGTTTGAATAAAATCTTAAACCGTAGTTGAAAAATGGTGACTTCACTACAGGTAAGTTAATAAACTCCGAGAAAGGAAGTGGGATATCCAATAGCTGCCAACTTGCGTCGTCTGGATAATGTTGATAGATATAATCTTCCGGATCTGTCAGGAAATCTTATGAAATTCAAGCCTAGCGTACTTGTGGACATTTACACGAAGGTCATCTTTAGTTCGGTTAATTTGTACGTGCGGATCCATGTGAAATCAGATAACCCCGCGCAATTTTGACACCCATATCAATTTGAACAATGCTGTTGTATGAGGCTCTACAGACAATGCCAATGCAGAAATAAATCTAAAGCCTGGTTTTGTGTACTTTCAAATTTTAAATTTATTTAAATTGCCATGCAACCAGATGCTATGAAAATTTTTAAAACTAACTAAAGATCAATCTGAATTTGTCTCATTACTAATGGTTTTTCAAGAAGATAAAATAAGCTTATAAACCAATGGAAAATTTCATATACAAAACCGATTATTAACTGTGAAAATAATAAAGGAAACAATAACAAAGAAAAAGCAAAACAGACACCATAGACAGAGCATTATATGCCCAAAAAGTGTTTTTTTTAGTAAGGATGAAGCATTTGAAGACATGGAAATATTTCATATGAATATCATATTATGAATAATTGTGGAAAATGAAGTAGAGATAAAAAAAGATACCATTCAGAAAGCTCCTTCAAAAAGCAATCCTCCTTTATAGCTGAAGGACCTTAACATATATATATACAATTGCTGTTTCCAAAGCACCACCATCAAGTTGTTATCTTGTAAATAAAAATGCTACGACGGATGGACGGAAAGACGCCAGGGGTATAACATATTATAAGCAAATTTTTTAGGGTCCATAATTAATGTACTCAATATAAGTGATCATACATGTGAACTTTTTTGATGATCAAGTGGGAGATTTTTCTTCAAAAAGAGGGAGATTTTAGAATTTGCAAAGTTCTGACATTAAAAAAAGGGAGATTTCTTTAATTTGTGAAAATACCCCTTATTTTAAGAAAAATCTTAGAAAATATGTCTGCAGAAAGTGGGAGTCTCCCGCTTAAAGTGGGAGAATCAGATGTAGGAGTGATCATCCTATGAAGTTTGACAGTTGTAAAACTGTTAACAATATTAAGGTCATTTGATATTTACCTTGGACCTAAATGTGACCCCAATGTAGATATGGATCTTTTATTCAATATAGGCAATCATCCTGTGAAGTTTGAACACTGTAAGCCAAATGGAACTTGTGTTATAATCCAGAAAGCACAATTTTCAGTGTTAAGGTCATTGTGACCCTGACCTTATGACCCTTAAATCAATAGAGTTTATGTATTGGACATGGCTGTTCATCCTATAAAATTTTACACCTGTAGGTTGATAAATACTTAAGTTATTGAGCAGCAACCGTTCTATAGTTTTAAGGTAATATTGACCTTGACCTTTGACCTTGTGACCCAAAAATTAAGAGAGGTCTTCTATGTAATATTGACAATCATCCTATGAAGTTTGAACACTGTGGGCCAAATGGAACTTAAGTTATGATCCAGAAACCACAATTTTCAGTGTAAAGATCATTGTGACCCTGACCTTTGACCTTATGACCCTAAAAATAGGAGGGCCCATGATTGTATTGGACATGGTTGTTCAACTTCATCCTATAAAATTTTACAGCTGTAAGTTGATTAATACTTCAGTTATTGAGTGGAAACTGTTTTCAGTTTTAAGGTAATAGTGACCTTGACCTTTGACCCAAAAATCATTAGGGGTCTTTTACTCAATATGGACAATCATCCTATGAAGTTTGAATATTGTGGGCCAAATGGAACTTAAGTTATGCCTCGGGAAACCAAATTGCTAACGGACGGATGTCCGGACGTACCAACTTTTGATATTTAAGAGGCAAATCAGCTCATAAACTACACCTGGACCAAAGTCCATAAGCAAAATTAGCTCATAAAAACAAAAAAATGGGTCAAAGACAGAAAAGGCCGGGTTGCATTTGTATACCAAATATCATGAGGGTGTGATGTTACAAAAAATGTTTACCATTGACCATTAATGTCAAAAATTTAACTAAGTCGGTAAACAGGAAGTGGATGAGCGACAGACCTGAAATCGAATCCCACAGTATGGGACCATGAGGCAATGCTGTATGCTAAATATCAAGAAGCTGTGATAAGTAGTTGCTGCGAAAACTGTTACAAAAATTTCCTCCATTGTCCATTAATGTCGGAAATTTAACTAAGTAGATAAACAGGAAAAGGATGAGCGACAGATTTGAAATCTAATCCCACCGTATGCAACCCTATGTCAATGCTGTATGCCAAATATCAAGAGGCTGTGATGAGTAGTTGCTGAGAAAACTGTTACGAAAATTTCCTACCACTGACCATTAATGTCGAAAATTTAACTAAGTTGTTAAACAGGAAGTGGATGAGCGACATTCACAAAGGGCCCAAGATCATTGTTACTGTACATCTGGCAAGTATTAAAGCATGTCAACTCACGCTTTCTATTTTATTTTTATTTTTTAATCAATTTTTAATCAGGATAACAGTTTGGCTATTAAACAACTCAAAAAAGCAAAAACTACAGAGAAGAGGGAAAAAGAACTTGCTTGGTGGAACAGTAAATATCATGACTAACTTTCCCACCAATTTTTTAACTTTGATGGGCAAGTAGGCAATTGCTTATTTATAACACTGTTTTGGAACAGTAAATATCATGACTAACTTTCCCAGCAAATTTTCAACTTTGATGGGCAAGTAGGCAATTGCTTATTTATAACACTGTTTTTTTGTAAAGTACAAACATTTTTATTTGTTACTGTATGAGGTAAGGAAGTACACAATTTTTTTAAGGAAGTTTTTTATGGAAATATAATGGTTCTATATGATGTATGTGTTGGGCATTTAAACAGGAAATTTTGTGGTTGCTTGGTAAACTCTATAGACTTCTGACAGAAATGTAGATAATCTATGTCTCTGTTTCTGACAGAAATGTAGATAATCTATGTCTCTGTTTCAGACAATTTAGTTAGGGTATTTATTTTTGAAATCATTGAACTTGTTGAAAATCATAAAAAAAACTTAAGGGTCAGAAGATTTTGCTAGGTACAAATGTAGGGTACGGTTACCCTTAAGCCACAACTATTTTTAGGCCAAATAAAATGTTCAGATAGAGTGGGCACCAGAGTAGGATCACTTACATTCTGTTTGCTAGCTAGATGGCAAGAATCCAAAAGATCATGCATACAGTGGTGAGGGGAAAGTGGTTTAAAGTCAACAATTTTAACATGGTGCTCATGGTAGCCTCTATAATAATATGTCTGCTTGTATTGAAAATAATACATGAAGTGGGTTAACAAGTATTTGAGGAATGTGACTAAAAAGACAAGAGTAGGTTGAACCGGGTGATGCTCCCTGAATAGGTTTTGTACACAGAAAAGTTTACCTTGTGTAGTTTTAGAGTTATGTCCAGGACAAAGTTTAAAGTGGAAAAAATAAACAAAGGACAATAACTCCAAAATTAGGCAAGGCAGAGTTACGGGTCTTTTGCACTGCATTTCTATTTAATGAAATCTATCTACCTTTACAGTTTCATGTTGATATCTCTTATAGTTTCAGAGTTACGTCCCAGACAAAGTTATAAAAATGAACAAAGGGCAACAACTCCAAAATTAAGCAAGGCAGAGTTACGGTTCATTTGCACTGCACATCTATCGATGGATCTATCTACATACAATGTTTCATGTTGATAAATTTTATTGTTTTTAGAGTTATGTCCCAGACAAAGTTCAAAGTATAAAATTGAACAAAGGGAAATAACTCCAAAGTTAGGCAAGGCAGAGTTATAGTTCTTGTGCACTGCTCTTTTTCCCAATGAGATCTATCAACCTACAAAATTTCATGTTGATACCTCTTGTAGTTTTAGAGTTAAGTCACAGACAAGTTCAAAGTGTGAATATGAACAAAGGGCAATAACTCCAAAATTAAGCAAGGCAAAGTTATGGTTCTTGTGCACTGCACAATATACCCAATGAGATCTATCTACCTACAAAGTTTCATGTTGATATCTCTTGTTATTTTAGAGTTATGTCCAGGACAAGAAAAGCGGATGGACGGACAGACAGATAAAGCTCACCTTTCAGGGAGCATAAATATCTTAGTAAGAAAAAGAAAGAACATTTTTTTTAGTTGGTATTTCAAACAATTTATTTAGAAAAGCTATTTAAAGGTTTTTCTAATTTTAGCTGTCGAGGCCCCTTAAAAAAGGGACCAATCACATTAATTTGAGCAAACTTGAAAGAAGAATGCATTTGTGAAAAAATGCTGTGGGAACAGAACACATAAATATAACAGAAGTAGATTTTTTTTGTTACTATACAATTGAACTTTGCCATAATGCAGTAGTGTCTAGTGAATTTAGGGGTCAAGGTCATATTTCAGCATGTTAATTCATTAGACACATGTGCAGATGTGTCTAATGTTAAAATACAAAGGCCATAGTGCAATAATTGATTCAAAAATAAAAGAAGATTTTATTGACCAAAAATAGGTATGTGTATAACATAGCTGTATTAAACTTTGAAATGTAGAAATACCATCTTTTCAATTAAGAATTACCTATTTCTAAAAGCATAATCATGTCCTTATAATATGCTCAAATTGTTTCATGTAATGTCTCTACAAAGCTCACAACTATTTTGCTAGAGTTCATGACCTGAATCATTTCATAAATATATCTGAAAATCATGACCTTTAGAGTTACTCCCAGCTATTGAATATTTTACATAAACAAGAGGGCCATGATGGCCCTGAAATCGCTCACCTGTATATAGGCCCCTTGGCAAAGGCCAATTTTAAACCAAGGGCTTTTATTTGAACAAACTTGGTAGACACCCATTAAAAGATGATTCATGATAAATATCTAAGCTCTAGCTCTTTGGGTTTTTTATAAGAAGATTTTTTAAGTTTTTACTAAATACAAATAAGGAAAATCAATGACCCCCTGGGGTGGGCCAATTTTGACCCCAGTGGAGTTGTGTTCACAAAATTTCTACATAGTATATAGTGAAAAAATCAACAAAGGGCCATAATTCTGTTAAATTTGGTTGCAGCGAAAATTCCTTCCTTTACTACCATCTACATATTAAGGTTGTTCATCCATGAAAGTTTAAGCAAAATCTGCCATCCGGTTTAAGAGGAGTTGCGTTCACAAAATTTCTACATAGTATACTCAACATCACTTATTCCGCGTCATCACTTATTTCACGTAAATGGCATATTTTCATGTGACCAGTGTTCAAATTGGTCAGAATTGACATATTTTATTCATACATCTATACAACAAAGTTTTGTGCAAAATATTTTAAATCTCTATAATTTTACGGAAACAGAACAACATTTTACAAATTTCTGCAAAAGTAATAATAGTCCATTAATTTTGTGCGTATGTCTGAAACAATCATCATTTTCTAAATGTTTTTGTTTGTTGAAAAAATAATTTTTGAGTTTCAACGTAAGGATAATTTTAATATTTAAAATCAAGCAAAATAACATGCAGAAATTTTAACTGATATATGAAAAAACTGAAATGTAACACCATTACCGCGATTTAAATGATGACTTACTGTTTTCAAAATGGCCGACATATGGTCTACGTTTGGTCCATTAAAATTGACTTTGACTGAAAATATTGTTGATTCCTTGTGCCATACGGCAGAAAATACCTATATGTTATAGCTTATGATAATTTTTGTACCATAAGTTTCATTTGTTGTTTTCTTTCTGGTTTCAAAGCGTTAAGTACCGTGAACTAAGAGGAGCACAGTATATATAGTGAAAAAATCAACAAAGGGCCATAATTCTGTTAAATTTGGTCGCAGCGAAAATTCCTTCCTTTACTACCATCTACATATTAAGGTTGTTCATCCCTGAAAGTTTAAGCAAAATCTGCCATCCGGTTTAAGAGGAGTTGCGTTCACAAAATTTCTACATAGTATATAGTGAAAAAATCAACAAAGGGCCATAATTCTGTTAAATTTGGTTGCAGCGAAAACTCCTTCCTTTACTACCATCTACATATTAAGGTTGTTCATCCCTGAAAGTTTAAGCAAAATCTGCCATCCGGTTAAAGAGGAGTTACGTTCACAAGATTTCGGGACGGACAGACGGACGGACGGACAGACGTATGGCGTGACGGACAGACGGACAAGTGCTATATGCTCCCACTCTGTGGGGGCATAATAATATTTTTTAAGGAAAATTCTTTCAACGGGAGATAAATATGGAAATATTGGTGCTAGAGTTATGAACCTTGTCACATAAGATGTGGTTGATGATGAGGATCATATATTTGTAGTATGAAGTTGACCCCTAAAAAAACTTGAACTATCACTAAATGTGATTAAAACCCCTGCAAGATTGCTTCAGAAATGAGGAAGTTACAAGTAACAGAATACCTTTAAAGATAGTTGTGGTTTTTGTATGTTGCATTCACTTACAATATGGTTGACCATTGATGAAGTTTTATTGAATTACTCTATAATAAATCCAGAAAGAGTTACGCTTCTTGTGCACTGCACTTCATCTCACTACCCTTGACCATTGTATGAAGTTTCATTGAATTCCAAACATTAATTTTCAAGTTATGCACTGGACATTAAAAAGTAAATGAGTCAAGAAAGAGTTATGGTTTCTGTGCGCTGCGCCTCTCAATATACTTGACCATTGTATGAAATTGTATTGAATTCCTAATAGTACTTTTCAAGTTATGCTCTAGACAAGAAAAAAGCAATGGAAAAGTAACAAAGGGAAGTAACTCAGTAATTACTCTTGACAGAGTTATAGTTCTTGTGCACTGCACTTCCGCTTAATGTGCTTGATGATTGTATGAAGTTGTACTGAATTCCAACTAGTAGTTTTCAAGTTATGCTCCAGACAAGGAAAAGTAACAAAGGGCAATAACTCTGTAATTAGTCAAGATGGAGTTATGGTTCTTGTGCACTGCACTTCCTCTCAATCTGCTTGATCATTGTATCAAGTTGTATTGAATTCCAACCATTAGTCTTCCAGTTATGCCTGGACAAAAAAAAAACAATGGAAAAGTAACAAAGGGCAATAACTCTGTCATTACTTTAGATAGAGTAATGGTCCATCTGTGTTTTGCACTTTCTCTTATTGTGCTTGACCATTGTATGAAGTTGTTTTGAATTCCAAGCAGTAGTTTCAAGTTATGCCCCGGACAAGGAAAAGTAACAAAGGGCAATAACTCTATAATGAGTCATGATGGAGTTATTGTTCTTGTGCACTGCACTTCCTCTCATTGTGCTTGACCATTGTATGAAGTTATATTGAATTCAAACCATTAGTCTTCAAGTTATGGTCCGGACAAAAGAAAGCAATGGAAAAGTAACAAGGGCAAGAACTCTAAAATTACTTTAGATAGAGTTATGATTCTTGTGCTCTGCACTTCCCTTTATTGTGCTTGACCATTGTATGAAGTTGCTTTGAATTCCAACCAGTAGTTTTCAAGTTATGCTCCAGACAAGGAAAAGTAACAAAGGGCAATAACTCTGTAATTAGTGAAGATAGAGTTATGGTTCTTGTGCACTGCACTTCCTCTCAATGTGCTTGACCATTGTATGAAGTTGTATTGAATTCCAACCATTAGTCTTCAAGTTATGCTCCGGACTAGGAAAATGCAACGGACGTCTGGACCGACCGACCGACTGACCAACCGACCGACCACCAGGTGACTCCTATATAACCCCCCAAAATTCGTATTTGGGGGTATAATAAAGAAGTTATAGTAAACTAGAAATGTGTCCATAAGACACGGGTGCCCCCACACTCCACCGATTTGTCTCTTAGACTAAGGTCAAATTTTTTTTTGGGCTACATGTGCCCAAGTTGAAAACTAAAAATCTTTTATTAAGTAAAGGGCAAATACTATCCACACGAAAATACCCAGGTGCACACTTCCACATGCTGATCAACATTCCTGTAAGGTTTCATGACTCTAGGTCAATTACTTTTTGAGCTACGTGCGACACAAAGAGAAGGGGAGATAAATCTAAAAAATAATGGTGCTAGGGTTTATGAACCTTGTACCATAAGATAAGGAACATATATTTGAAATTTGAAGTTGATAGGTGAAGAAATAAAAAAAAAGTAATAGTGAAAAATATTTTACTGCACATAAAATTTAATCTGAAATCTGGACGCCAGCGCCAAGGCGAGTAGGACAGCTCTCCATATACTTCATATAGTCGAGCTAAAAAGGATGTAAGTGAAACGGAAAGTAGAAATAAATGAAGTGTCTGACAGATTTCTGAATTTTTTCTGTCCCAGTTATAATAAGGCACCATGTGAAGTGTCGACGATCTCGTTGTATCCAGAGTAGACTGAATTGTTTTTGAAGAGAGATTTTTAAAATTTGTTAAGACGGTAGTTTTTCTGGAAGCGTGCTGCTTTAATGGAATAGCTGCATAAGACTAATTTTGCATTCATTCATTTTAACACAATATTTCTAAGTTTCAAAGTAATATATAGTTAAAAGGGAAAATTCCCAAATATATTGAATTAGAACATAAAACAGTAGCACACCTGCAAAGACGTTTAAAGAGTTGATGGTACGTCTCTTTGCCACTTTTCACACCTTTTAGAAGTTTATATGACGAGTTTGGACGAACAATATCTTTTGTGTTGTTCTTGCTCAAATCTTTTGAAATGATCCAACGAAACAATGCTCTGCAACAATAAAAATCATCTCATTGATAGTGTTAACATGTTAATTGTTGCGTGAAATTCATTCAGAATCAATAAGGCAGTCAGAGCTTGAAAATGTTTAATAAAAAGATTTTTATTCTTGCTATGTAAGTTGTTCATCAAAATTAATCAACTTTCATTTAATATACCGGTATATAATATTCTTAATAAACTAAACTGTGTTTTATAAAGTTTTTCTGAAATTCTCTGGTTACTAAGCTAACTTCAAAGACTAAATATAACCACCGATCCATGATACAACATAACCCTTAACATGCTGGAATCAAGTGATTAGCCTTTAACACCAGTATACAACAACTAGGCCAGTCTGCAAGAGTGTTTAATCTGAACCAGGCTCTGTACAGTATGTTTTGTAACCCCATACATTTTGAATGGACTGTTCCAAATTCAAAGCTGGGCAAATCCAAATCAGCAGGTTGTGAATTTACCTGACTTTCTCGAGTTCAGTGGAACATCCACGGGTCAGATCCCTCACTAGATCAGTGTAGGTATTATAGTCTCTGTTGGAAAGCTGAATAAAATAAACATTCTGAAAAAGTCTCACATTTTTTGCAGGTTATGTTTACCATTACTGATAAGATCACAGAAATATCAATATATATTGTGAACTACTTACATCTAAAAAAGAAAATAGGGCTATGTAAACTAAGCATTATCAAATATCTTACTAAATATCTAGTTGATAAAAGCTTTAATATCATATAAATCAAGAACTAATAGTTTGTTTTAAATTTGGAATATGTACATATAAACAAGAATTGAAGTCATCTCCATACTTCAATAGCCTGTTTATCAATCTGTTCAAATATGGTTGGAGTCTTGTACAACTTGGCTTTTCTAGTTTCCGGGGGTAACACAGCTGGTCGCATCGAGTGATCGTACAATGCATGTCCATCCAGCTCTCTATCCTGGCAATTAACAAGATTGTGTATAAATAATACATTTTTTTACAAACACAAATCGTAACAAAATTTTTTTTCATTAATCTGGATTCAAGTCAATACTGGACTTCAAACTTTGTAAAATTTAGACTACATTTCGTCATTGATATAACTTATTTATATATTTACTTATTCAAAATGTTTTAGATATATAAGTATGTAAAAAGGAGTTTTTTATTGCTTATAAGTTAAAGTGCTTCTCATTTTTTCTTTAATTTTTACAAACAACAAAGATACTCAGTTTCCTAGCAGTTTCCGGCCCCTAGCAGTTTTACGCCCTTTAGCATCTTCGTCCAGTACAGGCTATTTTACCAGTAAGGCATCCATGTTACTTCATCAATCAGAGAGACATTTGTTTTCTATGCTAAAAAGCATTTAAAATAGTACAACGATTTATGTTTTGAAGTTTTGCCTATTGTTAAAAGTGACATAAGAGAACTTGCGACTTTTAAAAAAAAAGCAACATCTGGGGACTTCTAGTTTGAATATCCATGCGCAATCACATCAATACTACTGAAAATATATTTGCAGACAAGATGGAAAAAGTTGGGAAGTTCTGTTTGTTTTTATAAAACCATCTTTACATTCTTGCTTACTGTTACTGAATTATATTCAAAATAAAAAAGGTCCGGGAAGCTGCTATGAATTTTTGAATAAAAGTGAAAAAGGGTGTAACATTTTAGGCCTATATTCAAAATAAAAAGTAAAATTTAAGCGCAACAGCAAAACAAGAACTGTTGGAGGACAGTAACGCTCGACTATTCGAAAAGTTGTCACAAGTGTGTTTCATTGAGTATAATAATGCTTACCTATATGAATACATAAAATTGTCTGAAAAGGTACAAAGGCTTGTTATTAAGATGTTTTATCGAGTTCATCACTGCTTTATTATTATGAATGCATAAAATTGTTCCTAAATAGGCACAAACCCTTCAGTAGTTATGGAGATACCAGCTTAATTACACGCAAAAACTTTACCTAGAATTTCTAAGACAAAAAAGGTGCATAATTATGAAAAAAAAAACATATCAGAGTTATGGAACTTGTGCCAATCATGTTAGATTATCACAGAGAACAAGTGTGTGAAGTTTCAATCTATTCCCTTACATTATACTTGCTTACACGCAAAAACTTAACCAAGAATTTCTAAGTCAAAAAAGGGGCATAATTATGCAAAAAAGCAAATCAGAGTTATGGGACTTGTGCCAATCATGTTAGATAATCACAGAGACTAAGTGTGTGAAGTTTCAATCCATTCCCTTCAGAAGTTATGGAGATACCAGCTTACACGCAAAAACTTAACCACAGGGACGCCAATGCCAACAAATGGGTGACTACATTAGCTTGATTATTCTCCGAATAGTCGAGCTAAAAATGGCAATTAACAGGTACCTAAATTCATCCTGTCAAAGTTTTGTACTCTTACACAGACAGATTTTCATTTTATTTGTTAAAAAGTTCAATTTGGGACCGGAAACTGCTAGGAAACAAGTATACTATGTTTCTTTAAAAAAACCTTTTCAGCAATTAATAATAGCATTTCCTGGCATTGTCGGTCTAACATTCTTGCCGAACGTGCTTTTTCTTCTGCTGCAACTTTATCTACTACACCTCGCAGGCGATCATCTCGCATCCGCCGGAAGTGATCTTCAATTCGCTCTCGTTCTGAGACGAGATTTCGTGGATTTTGTTGTAAACCCATTTGTTCAATATTTGCTAAAAGTTCAGCCGCTGCATGTTCCTTTTCTGTTTCAATGTTTTTATCCAATCTGTTCATTTCTTTCTCGCGTTCTTCAGACAGAAAACGCTGTAGACGTTCTTCTTCCTCATGATGACGGTCCTCAAGTGTCCATTGAGCGTCAAACACACCATTCATCTCAAAATCCTACAACAGCAAACAAGAGGGCCATGATGGCCCTGAGGTCGCTCACCTGTATATAGGCCCCCCCCCCCCCCGGGCAATTTTGACCCCAGGGCTTTTATTTTGAACAAACTTGGTAGAAACTCATTAGAAGATGTTTCATGCTTAATATCTAAGCTCTAGCTCTTTGGGTTCTTTAAAAGAAGATTTTTTAAGTTTTTACTATATGCATATAGGGAAAATCAATGACCCCCCCGGGGCGGGGCCAATTTTGACCTCAGGGCTTTTATTTGAACAAACTTGGTAGCCACTCACTAGAAGATGTTTCATGCCAAATATCTTAGCTCTAGCTCTTTGAGTTCTTTAAAAGAAGATTTTTTAAGTTTTTACTATATGCATATAGGGAAAATCAATGACCCCCCGGGGCAGGGCCAATTTTGACCCCAGGGCTTTAATTTGAACAAATTTGGTAGACATTCACTAGAAGATGTTTCATGCTTAATATCTTAGCTCTAGCTCTTTGGGTTCTTTAAAGGAAGATTTTTTAAGTTTTTACTATATGCATATAGGGAAAATCAATGACCCCCTGGGGCGGGGCCAGTTTTGACCCCAGGGCTTTTATTTGAACAAACTTGGTAGACACTCACTAGAAGATGTTTCATGCCAAATATCTAAGCTCTAGCTCTAAGGGTTGTTTAAAAGAAGATATTTAAAGATTTTTCTTTCGGTTGCCATGGCAACCAGAGTTCTGCATGGAATTAAATTTTTTGAACAATTTTTAAAGGTGACCACCAAAGGAACATTCCTGTGAAGTTTGGATGAAATTGGCTCAGTTGTTTATGAGGAGATGTCATTTAAAGCAAAAGTTTACGGACGGACAGACTACGGACGGACGGACACCGGACGAAAAGCGATCACAAAAGCTCACCCTGTCACTTTGTGACAGGTGAGCTAAAAATGGAAAGAAACTTAATATTTTATAGCAAATGTAATCAGGCACCACACTCTTATTTCTAAACACATCAAAGTATTAAAATATTGTAGTAAAGAATACTACTAGAAAACATAATATACAGTAGAACTTCGGTAAGTCGAAGTTGAAGGGACTTGGATAAAAACTTCGACACATCGGGACTTCGACTCATGAATCGCTTTCAATTCCATGACAAAATTTCGACCCGTTACTGGTGCTAATCATAAGATCTATAACGAAACCTTTTTCATGCTTTTCAATCATTAATCAGATATTTTACATTTTACAATGATAAATATAGCATGTTAGATAACGTTTTTCACGGCTTATTATTTGGACTACCCGTTGACGTATACAATAGAGTTACAAAAGGCGTAACAGTAAGAAAGGGCGATAACTAAACCGGCTCATAGTAAATATTTCGCGTGTTATTCTCACGCAACACCGGGTCATGGATGTTTTCAAATGAAAGTAGTTCTTACTGTTTACTTTCAAATACCATTACGGCAATTAAAATAGTAACGATTAAAGCAGTTTATCACACATTTTATCGCAAACAAAGGCTGTTTGAACACACAGATGTGTAATTAACACCTGTCACACAAGTTGATTGGAAATCGTCTTCGCAGCCAGATAAGGTGTGAAAATTGTCTCGAGATCGAAGGTGTCAAAATAATCGAAAGACTTTGACTTATTTGTGGTAAATTGCACTAGATTTACTTTATACGGACCACGAAAAAACTTTGACACATCGAAAAATTCGACTCATAAAATCTCGACTCATAAATAGGTTTTTATAAGGAATATATAGGGTAAAAAATCGGGACTTTCATTTTTCTTCGACACATCGAGAAAATCGACTAATCGATGTTCGACTCATAGAAGTTCTACTGTAGTTAAAATTTTACAGTCAATGTCATTCACAGGTCAAGGTATTGTTTCAATAAGTCATCATGTCGAATTGTGTCGTAAGAGTTCTTTTGTCCAAGAATAAAACAAATCCATAAATAAGAGTTCTTTCGTCCAAGAATAAATCAAACTAGAAATGTGTCCATGGACACGGGTGCCCCAACCGTGCCACTGTTCTGTCAATCTTATGACTCTAGGTCAAATATTTTTTGAAAACTAAAAATCTTTTACTAAGAAAAGGGCAAGAACTTTACAAATACTGAATAAATCCACAAGTTAACCCCAAGGTGCATAAGAACACATGCTGACCAACATTCTTGTAAATTTTCAGGCCTACAAGTGAAATACTTTTTGAGCTATGCATGAACAAGTTGAAAAGTGCAAATTTATACTACTGTAAAACAAATTTTAGGCAATAACTCTAACAAAACTGAACAAGAGGGCCATGATGGCCCTGAGGTCGCTCACCTGTATATAGGCCCCCGGAGCGGGGCCAGTTTAAACCCCAGGGCTTTTATTTGAGCAAACTTGGAAGACACCCATTAGAAGATGTTTCATGATGTTAAGTTTTTACTACACGCATATAATGAAAAACAATGACCTCCCCCCCCCCTTTGGCAGGGCCAATTTATACCCAAGGGCTTTTATTTGGACAAACTTGGTAGACACCAACAAAAAGATGTTTCCTGCTTAAAATCTTACCTCTAGCTCATTGGGTTTTTTAAAAGAAGATTATTTTTCAAGTTTTTACTATACACATATAGTTAAAAACAATGACACCTCTGGGGCGGGGCCAGTTTTAACCCCAGGGCTTTTATTTGAACAAACTTTGTAGACACTTACTAGAAGATGTTTCATTCTTAATATCTAAACTCTAGCTCTTTGGGTTCTTTAAAAGAAGATTTTTTAAGTTTTTACTATATGCATATTGGGAAAATCAATGACCCCCTGGGGCAGGGCCAATTTTGACCCCAGGGCTTTTATTTGAACAAACTTGGTAGACACTCACTAGAAGATGTTTCATGCTTAATATCCAAACTCTAGCTATTTGGGTTTTTTCAAAGAAGTTTTTTTAAGTTTTTGCTATACACATATAAGGAAAATCAATGACCCCCGGGGCGGGGCCAATTTTAACCCCAGAGCTTTTATTTGAACAAACTTTGTAGACACCCATTAGAACATGTTTTATGCTAAATATCTTCGCTCTAGCTCTTTGGGTTCTTTAAAGGAAGATTTTTTAAGTTTTTACAATATGCATATAGGGAAGATCAATGACCCCCTGGGGCGGGGCCAATTTTGACCCCAGGGCTTTTATTTGAACAAACTTTGTAGACACTCACTAGAAGATGTTTCATGCTTAATATCTAAACTCTAGCTATTTGGGTTTTTTCAAAGAAGATTTTTTAAAATTTTGATATACACATACATGTATAAGGAAAATCAATGACCCCCGGGGCGAGGCCAATTTTGACCCCAGGGCTTTTATTTGAACAAACTTTGTAGACACCCATTAAAACATGTTTCATGCTAAATATCTTAGCTCTAGCTCTTTGCGTTCTTTAAAAGAAGATTTTTTAAGTTTTTACTATATGCATATAGGGAAAATCAATGACCCCCTGGGGCGGGGCCAATTTTGACCCCAGGGCTTTTATTTGAACAAACTTGGTAGACACCCATTAAAAGATGTTTCATGCTAAAAATCTTAGCTCTAGCTCTATGGGTTCTTTAAAAGAAGATTTTTTAAGTTTTTACTATATGCATATAGGGAAAATCAATGACCCCCTGGGGCGGGGCCAATTTTGACCCCAGGGCTTTTATTTGAACAAACTTGGTAGACAATCACTAGAAGATGTTTCATGCCAAATATCTAAGCTCTAGCTCTTTGGGTTTTTTAAAAGAAGATATTTAAAGTTTTTTCTTTTGGTTGCCATGGCAACCAGAGTTCTGCATGGAATTAAATTCTTTGAACAATTTTTAAAGGTGACCACCAAAGGAACATTCCTGTGAAGTTTGGATGAAATTGGCTTAGTGGTTTATGAGGAGATGTCATTTAAAGTAAAAGTTTACAGACGGACGACGGACGCCAGACGGACGCCGGACGAAAAGCGATCACAAAAGCTCACCCTGTCACTTTGTGACAGGTGAGCTAAAAAAATCCACATGCAAAGCCCCAGGTGCATAGCTTCACAGTGATGTAAATCATTATTCCTCAAATTTAGTGATGTTGATCATTATTCCTGTAAAGTTGGTTGATTCTAATTCAAGCACTCAAGGAACAAATTACAACATAATGAAACAGTTTTTACTAAGTGAAGGGAAATAACTCTACAAATACTGGATAAATCCACAAGCGAAACCCCAGGTGCAAAACTACATATGCTGAGCAACCTTCCCGTAAGGTTTAATGACTCTATGTCAAATCCTTTTTGAGTTACACAAGTTGAAAATTGCAAAAAAAAATTCTAAGTCAAGGGCAATAACTCTAAAAAATACTAAATAAATCCAGACGAAAATACTAGGTGTACAACTGCACATGCTGATCAATATTCCTGTAAAAGTTCATGACTCTATGTCAAATACGTTTTGAGTTACATGTGACACAAGTTGAAAATTGCAAAATTTTACTAAATCAAGGGCAATAACTCGAAAAATACTAAATAAATTCAGACGAAAATGCCCAGGTGCACAACTACATATGCTGATCAACATTCCTGTTAAGTTTCATGACTCAAGATCAAATACTTTTTGAGTTACATGCGACACAAATTGAAAATTGCAAAATTTTACTAAGTCCAGGGCAATAACTCAAAAAATACTAAAAATATCCCGATGGAAATACCAAGGTGCACAACTACACATGCTGATCAACATTCCTGTAAAGTTTCATGACTCTATGTCAAATACTTTTGAGTTACATGCGACACAAGTTGAAAATTGCAAAATTTTACTAAGTCAAGGGCAATAACTCTGAAAATACTAAAAATATCCAGACGAAAATACCCAGGTGCACAACTACACATGCTGATCAATATTCCTGTAAAGTTTCATGACTCTAGGTCAAATACTTTTTGAGTTACGTGCGACACAAAAGAGAACGGGCGTACCAACTTTTGATGTTTGCAAATCAGCTCATAAACACCACCTGGACCAACGTCCATAAGCAAAATTAGCTCATAAAAACAAAAAAATAGCTCTTAATTTGAATTTTATGAGTTTTTGTTCTTTATTTAACTATGGAATGAAGCTCATAAATATCAAGTGTTTGCTCGGACTGACGGACGGACGGGCGTACTCACAAAATGGTACTTATGTGAATTTTCCTTTGATCTTTTTGGCCATTTTTAGTCACACAAGGCTTAAAAAAAGACACACAAGTAAAAACGGAATGAATAGGATCAAAGAGAATTTACTGTTACCCATTGTTCTCCAAGTCACACAAGTACCTCTGGGTTTGTACGGACAAGGCGGCGACTATAATGCTCCCCCGAAATTTTTCGGGGAGCATAAAAATAGCATAAAAATATAGCCAATATTTTCAGACGGCAACAGCATAGTCAACTTCAACTGACTGTAGCAATAGCTCTTTTCTTCTTTAAAAACTTATTTATTATTGATTTTATTTATGTTTAGAGTTTACATGAGGACCATTTGACTGACACTACAGTGAAAATATTTGGTACAATTACTTCGAAAATATTAGGTACAGAGGCTTTTGCCTTTCATGATCCCTTACCAAAATGACTTTAAGTGACTTATATGTTTCTTATATGCAACTTATACTTGACCTATAAGAGAACTATAAGTTACATATAAGTCACTTATAAATCACCTAAAAACCTGTCTAAGTCAGTTATAGGTATATGCTACATATAAGTCACTTTTGGCCATTTTTTCCCCAACATATAAGTCACATACAAGTCACCTATAAGTGCCTTATACTGGTGAAGTTTGAAGTAACCAGTTTCTATGTTAGATATAAGTGAAAACTTAGAACTTTTGCGAGACTTTTTATTACTGAGCAAAGCTGAAAAAATTACTAAGTACAAAAACATGAGAAAATTGGTAAAATTTATTGAAGTTGATTTGTAATTCTTTGCTTTAACACAATGGGTATCAAAATACTCAGAATTTAAAATACTATAATCTTAGACCTTAATCACAAACAATTAAGATTTTTTTTTAAATGTTGCTTATTAATTTTTGAACACAGCTGGGGGTTTTTAAATAAGATAATAGAAAAAATGATTATCAATTAAGTATATTACCTGTAAAAAATTTTGGTACATATTCCGTGCGGAATTGGGAGAGAAATGGCATTCAATCAGTGATTTCTAGGCTACCATGGACAGAATTGAAATTCCATGTCATTTCTTCTCACAAGGAAAATATTTCACATAAAAGTCACCCAAGGCATAATTCTACTCTTGTTTTTTTTATAACTTGAAACAGACATGGAAATCTATATGTTTTTACCTACTGTACTTCTTACAGACCTAATTTCGCTGAAGTAAGATATTCTAACAAGAAAAAGAGGTGTATTTTTTTTTAATATACAAGTGTTATTTTTTAAGACATTTAGGCCTAGTGTATTTTAGATATTTAAACATTAAAAAAAACAGTGCTTGAAATAAACAGTTTATATTGCCCTTTTAATCTATATAAAATCAAGGAACCAATATGCCTGAAGATTGCTTATATTTTCTACATCCACTGATACACCACATAGATCAGAGGTCTGATAAAACTGGCCGCCTGCCTTTGCCACCATATGTGCATGACTAATTTTTTGACTGGTCATTTCTACAAATCAGACTGTTCCATGTGATTATTTTGGGGAAAGATAACATTTCCTAACCTGAATTTGTAAAAAAGGACATTGCGTTTTCTTTTTCAAAAATGTATAATGATTTTTAAACTTTACATATCTATTAGTTATTTGATTTTTTTTCACATTCAATGATTGTAAGATAGAACTGATGAGTGCTTTGATTTTTGGATTTACCCTGTTGCACATAACATTGGACCTGCCCAGGTACACAGTTGTAAGTCTGAAACATTTAGGTTAGCAAGCTGGTGGAAATCACAGAGAATCTACTTGATGTTTTAGGAAATTTAGAGATATTGTTTTGTTTAAGATGTTTAAGTATAGTTATGGTAAATAAGAATGACAAGAAGAATCACCTTGGACAAGAAGATATACAACAAAATCAGGTAAATACCTTTGAGTAACATTTATGCAGAATTGATACAGGTTATATATTAAACAATCAAAGTAAGATGGCAGCAAACTAAAATTTGTAACTTGAGAGATCAAGGCTGTTTTTATTTTAGATTTACTAATACTTGTAATTGATTTAAATCTAGATTTAATAGTCAAATTAATTGAATTATTAGAACTAAATAGTACAATCAGTAGTTTTATGCAGCTGAATAAGACTGGGTCATCATAATCATTTAACATTTTATTGTTGTTTTCAATGGAGATTTCTGATATTACATTTTACATACATTGCAGGCTAGTGGGACCAGTTCTTACTTTGAGATGCCAGGTGAATAATGATATGCAGTATTGAGCCAGAAAAGGTATGTTTTTTTAATCTCTATACTTACTGCTCTAAATCTTTCACAGAAAAGAGCATAATAAATGTTGTTGCAAATAGTGCTGTTAATCAATTCTTATAGAGACTTTTAGCAATTCTTAAACAACACTGTTGACTTGTGCACTAAAATGAGATACTGTGTAACTTAGTATATTTGTATATGCATAAGCATAAATAGCTAATATAGTTTGATGATATACAAAAATATGAAATATAACTGCATTTACAATGTTCGAATTTATTCCACATCTTTTTTAATTAATTATGAATTTTATCTTTAAAGGTGAACACAGCCACATGAAGTTCTCCGAGGAAACAGAATCAGAGCACTGAAACAGACATCAATAAAAGAAATAGTAGTTTGAATAATCAGAAACATTTGATCAAATTTATGATTTGAATAGTTCCTCACCGACAGACTTCCAGCAAAATAATTGTATAAATAAAGTGTTTGATTCCAAGAAAAACCAGTAAAAAACAAAAACTTGCTGTTACAAATGAATATTGTTTTGTTATAGTGAATGAAAGATGATTGAACTGAAGGATATGTTTGTTGAATTTTGTATTTTGCTCATTTATATGACTATGAATATAAATTAATAAACATTTTTGAAATTAAATTACTAAACTTTTATTTATTTCAAGCTTTTTTGACATCAAGCAACATATATGCGACTTACATGTGACTTATATGTTATTTATAAGTGACTTATATTAAGTCACTTATATGTAACATATAAGTCACTTATATGTAACATATAAGTCACTTATATGTTACTTATAAGTTGAGCATATCTTTGACTTACATGTCACATATTTGTGACTTATATATAACTTATACTTCACTTATATGTCAAAATGCCAGACATATACTGCACTTACATCTAATTTGCATTTAAAATACATATACTTGACTTATAGGTGAATTGACTAAGTGAAGTATAATCTACATATAAAATAGCCTATAAGTGACTTATAAGTGAATTCCGTAAGGGATATCAGACTTATCATAAATTATAAACCTGTTATATTTTGGTTCCACCTTATCAGTTTTGAAGTTGAAATGTACTATTCAAGCAAGCATGTACTATTCAAGCAAGCAGACCGTTTTAAAATACCTTATAAACAGTGCATGGTTGACAGCTCTTTGTCTTTTATCATTTAAATATAAGACATTTTGGTTCTAAAGACTTGATAATTTTTATTGTGTTACAAAGTTTGTATTGCAAATGTCCAACAAAGGAAATAAATACCTCGTATGTTTTTAATGTAGGGCGTGGTCTACTGTATGCTCCCCCTGTCATAAGTGTGTACTCCATTGTGTTGGGTGTCTGAGTGAGCCACGTACTCCCGTTCAGACTCCTGGGTGTGACGCTAAAAATGCTCGAACCCATACTGGTATCATGAAGGTGTGGTGGGTTGTGATCCTGGCCTGACTGGGCTGGACTCCCTTTTGGGCTTCCCCGTGGACTTGGTTTCGGACTAAAGTTTGGTGAAGCTTGTAATGCAGGCTTCGGGCGTCCAGTTGGCTAAGAAAGGAGAAAACAAATATCAATATTGTGTTATACGTAAAGTTGATAATTATGTTTAAAGATCAACGAATATGTCTATACATTCACCAGTTTTAAAGATTTACACTTAAACGTATGTGTACGATAGCAAAAGTCTTTTGCTAGTAAAGGATGTACTTATTGGTTCTAAATATGCACAAGTCCACACAATTAGTCAGCCTTAGGTTGGATTAAAATTCCATGTATGATAACATACAATTATGTCTATGTTATCTGTTGACAATTGACATGTGTGTTTTTTGCAATCTGAACACCATTCTCATGTATCCAATCCATAGGCAAATCTTGATTTTCTCCACAAATATTTATGATGTATGATGAATTATTTTTTGACCTCCTTTCCATTATATAACTAAAATTGGTCATTATGCCTCCACATTCTACCAATTATATAATGTAAGTGTACAGACTAACTGCGGGACAGAATGACAGTGTGACAGCGGGATGAACAGACAAGGACAAAATTAATGTACATGCCCACTCTTTTTCTTTTAACCTATAAGAAAAATCAGCATGGATTTTATGGAAAAAATTACCAATTCAGGCCTGTTTTGAACCACTCTTTGCAAAATCAGGGTGAAATAGACACAGACCCTGAATTTTCAATAAATCTCACATGGTAATTCAAGTTTTTCTACCCTGACATCATCTTCATTTTCGTAAAAGTCAGGGTGGAGACTTTGCGCTTTGACAGTTTTTACTAACTTAGAGAAATATAAGTAAAGTAATTGCATTTTATAGTCTACCTAAAAATTCCTATTAAACGCCCCGGGGGCTTAACAGTTTCCAAAAGGGGGGCTATATATATTATTACAACACATTTTTTCCTAAATCCAAAAATCATTGTAACTACATTTAGTGTTAAAAACATTAAGAATAACATTAAAAAGTGTTAAGATTTTAAAGTTCATATGATATATTTCTGTATATTCTATATAATAAAATGGATTCTGAAGGATTTGAATAATATTATGGATTTACTCATGAGTTCAGCACTGATGAGCAGGTTTTTTCCAAATCAAAATGCCTGGGGGGACCTTTATTAGGGGAGGGGCGTTTATTAGGAATTTTACGGTAAGTTTCATGCTAACGCACGTTCACCGACTTTACAGCTATAAGCAATATTTCAAAGTTAGAACGTCTTCAAGAATAAGTTCTTCATTTTCCAGCCTGATTTTTCTTAGTTAGAGTTATTAAAATGAATATTGCAATACACTTATTATAAATACAGTAGACAAAATTAGATTTTAAACTGACAGAAGAAATTACATGTATATTAATATAATGTCTATATCTATAATGTTTCAATTGATTAATATTTCATTTAATTAACAAACAAAAAAACTTTTCATTTACTGACTTAATAAATTCTTTAATAAATTTATGAAACTATGTAGATTATTTAGTTCAACATGATTCATAAATATATTTGTAAGATCATCATCAGAACCCACGGTACACATTCCATATATACTACATGACTATACGATAAATAGCTTGGGTTACCGAGGATGGTTGCTACAAGTATTCCTAGAAATTATTTTGTGCTTTTTAAGTTAGCGCTTTTCGCGGTGATACATACATATCCGCGAATTTTTGTATCCACGAAAAGGTTGCATATAACAAATCCCCGAACATTTGTAGCTCCAACAACATAGATTTTTATTATGTCATTATGAAGTACTCTAACCTATGCTTAACTAAGAAAGACCGGTAGGGCCATTTCAACTTCATGAATTTCCAACTTCATCTTCAAGAATTCAAATTTTTAACTTCGTGAATTCACGTTTTCAACATACAGAATTCAGCTACATGAATTCAAGATTTCATCTTCACGAATTCACGATTTCAGCTTCATTACTTTAAGATTTCAGCTTCATGAATTCACAGTTTCAACTTCATGAACTCACGATTTCAACTTCATGAATTCACAAATTCAACTTCGTGAATTCACGATTTCAACTTCACGAATTCATGATTTCAACTTCATGAATTTGCGATTCCAACATCACAAAGTCACGATATCAACTTCAAGAATTCACAATTTCAGCTTCACAAATTCACTTTTTCAACTTCATGAATTCAAGATATCAACTTCATGAATTCAAGATTTCATCTTCATGAATTCAACTTTGTGAATTCAGTGTTTTTTTTGGTCGAAATATTCGGCGATATTCGGCCCCTTTCCCCACCTCTCGGAATATATATTTTTCCCCATGAAATTGCGAAAATTCCCCACCGTCAAAAAATATACCCAAACAAGAAACAGAAAGAAGACACCTAAACCATAAGTAAAATATGCCAATAAATTTTATTTTGATTCGCAAAGCAAATTCATGAACTCTATCATTATTATCAGGGATGTTTACTTTACGCTTGCTTTGCGACATAGGTCGTTCGTTTTACCGCGGCTATAAGACAATACGGTAGCGCGACAGTCGGTTATTGAGTTTGTTATTTACCGTTCGGTTGGCTTTAATGAAATAATACATGCAAATATTTATAATTAAACACTCGCCTACTTGGTAAGTATAAAATAAACAGAATATTATAAAATGAAAGAACAAGAACCGGTTGAACCGGGTGATGCTCCCCGAGAAGGTTCTGGACACAGGAAAGTATAAAAAAAATGAACAAAGGGCAATAACTCCAAAATTACACCAGGCTTTGTTTAGGTTCTTGAAGCGTTGCAGTTCTATCCAATTATATCTAGCTACCTACAAAGTTTCATGTTGATATCTCTAATAGTTTTAAAGTAATGTCCAGGACAAAAGTCAAAAAGTAAAAATAAACAAAGGGCAATTACTTCAAAATAAGGCAAGGCAGAGTAATGATTCTTAAGCACTGCACTTCCACCAAATGAGACCTATCTATCTACAAAGTTTCATGTTGATATCTCTTATAATTTTAGAATAATGTCCCAGACAAAGTTCAAAGTGTCAAAATGAACAAAGGGCAATAACTACAAAAGTAGGCAAGACAGTGTTACAGTTCTTGTGCATTGCAAACTTACTCAATGAGATCTATCTACCTACAAAGTTTCATGTTGATATCTCTTATACATTAAGAAATATGTCCCGGACAAAGTTCAAAGTGTAAAAAATAAACAATGGGGGATAATTCAAAAATTAGGCAAGGCAGAGTTAAGGTTCTTGTTCACTGCACACCTACTCAATGAGATCTATCTACCTACAAAGTTTCATGTTGATACCTCTTATACTTTTAGAGTTATGTCCCGGACAAAGTTCAAAGTGTAAAATTAACAAAGAGGGATAATTCAAAAATTAGACAAGGCAGAGTTACGGTTCTTGTGCACTGCACTTCTACTCAATGAGATCTATCTACCTACAAAGTTTCATGTTGATACCTCTTATACTTTTAGAGTTATGTCCCGGACAAATTTCAAAGTGTAAAATAAACAAAGGGGGGTAATTCAAAAATTAGGCAAGGCAGAGTTACGGTTCTTGTGCACTGCACACCTACTCAATGAGATCTATCTACCTACAAAGTTTCATGTTGATACCTCTTATTCTTTTAGAGTTATGTCCCGGACAAAGTTCAAAGTGTAAAATAAACAAAGGGGGATAATTCAAAAATTAGGCAAGGCAGAGTTACGGTTCTTGTGCACTGCACTTCTACTCAATGAGATCTATCTACCTACAAAGTTTCATGTTGATACCTCTTATACTTTTAGAGTTATGTCCCGGACAAAGTTCAAAGTGTAAAAATAAACAAAGGGGAATAATTCAAAAATTAGGCAAGGCAGAGTTACGGTTCTTGTGCACTGCACACCTACTCAATGAGATCTATCTACCTACAAAGTTTCATGTTGATACCTCTTGTTGTTTCAAAGTTATGTCCCGGACAAGAAAAGGGGACGGACGGACGGACGGACGGACGGAAAGACGGACGGACGGATGGACGGACGGACGGACAAGGCGGCGACTATATGCTCCCCCGAAATTTTTTCGGGGAGCATAAAAATACGCTATCAAAAAGAGATTACAGTAACAAGATGAAAATCCTCAAGTTACCGAACTGCCGATGTGTCGAATTGTCGCTGTATCTTTACGGCTTTTACGACTATCGCATTTACTGCAAAAATGTCACACAACAGTCGATCTTGATGTTATCGAAAGATAATAAATAAAAAATGCTCCTCGAAGAACAAACGTATTGATGTTCTTTTTAAACAAAGGCACTTTCTGTGCTAGGTTCAAAGGAAAAATATCAAAAACCAGACCAATGCAAGCTCTATTATGCGATATTTTTTCTCAGCGTATTTTATTTAGTAATAGATCTAATACATGATATAAATATTTCCAATCAATTCACTAAATAACTTGTCTGCCAGTGCAAAGAAATGATAAATTATGATTATAGAAACTGCGATTATGTATGCAAAATTTCATAACAAATAAATCTGTGTGAATAATGGCTAATGATATGCTGGTGGAGTTAACATTTGTTGTTATTGAAAAAAAAATCTGAAAAATATAAGAAACAAAAATATCAAGTGCATTACTTCAATTTTGAAAACACAGTAAGCGAAGAAAGTGTTCAACTAATTTATTCTATAGGATTGTTAAAGAATATGTATTTTTAGTCTTTTTATTGAATATTAATAACACTGAAAATTCCCCTTTTTGGCATTTACGCGCTATTTTTCCCCACCCAATGGGCACTGACCCCCTTCCCCAAAAACTGAAAAAAATCACTGGAATTCAATATTTAAACTTCACGAATTCACGATTTAAACTTCACAAATTCAAGATTTCAACTTCATGAATTCACGATTTCATCTTCATGAATTCACAATTTAACTTCACAAATTCAACATTGTGAATTTACGATTTCAACTTCATGAATTCACGATTTCAACTTCATGAATTCACAATTTTAACTTCACGAATTTAACTTCGTGAATTCAAAATTTCAACTTCACGAATTCATTATTT